TTATATGAATAATTATTATGTTTAGTAAAAATATATATTTATCGATGAATATTATAAAAATTAGTTAGTCAACATTTGTTGTATTTTTTGACTTGAAACTGTTAACCCTCGAGTCACATTGCAGCAACAAGTGGAATTGCTGCAATGTGACTTAATGAATTTTAATTATAATTCATTTGTAAAGAAATCATTCATATTTAATGCTATTTATTATAAGCTTGTAACTGAATTTTCTCAAATTGATGTCTGTTTTTTACAGCGCCACCGAAAACATGGCATCGTCTCCTGGAAACAACCGTTTGAAGTCGTGCCAGATTTTCCGAAAAGACACCAAAAAAACACCCGTTCTAACAAAAGAAGCATCCTTGTCCAACGATAGTCAAAATCCATGTACGTGTTCCACAGACTCAAATAATGGCCAAAGACGAAGTATCAATAATAAGAAAAAATCGCTCAAGAATTCGGAATCACTTCCTTGCGCCGTCACGTGGGATGGTTCCAAATCCATGGCCAGCACTGTGATATGCGTTGATGATAATTCAACGTTAAATAATATAAATTCAAGGCCAAGGACCGCACTTTTGAATGTGACTTTGGAAAGATCGCATTCTCAAAATGACAGGGCAAATCAGCGTATCAGGACGCAGCAGAACAGGTCTAGGGATTCTTCGAGGCATGGACGGATAATTAGGCTCGAACAGAAAGCTACAAAGGTCAGTTAATAAATAATAAAACTGAAGTATTTGATTGATTTTCAATTTTACTACAAATATTGATGAACATCCAGGCATCCAGTTATTTGATATCGATCGAGTTGTATAAAATGATTTTTATCTTTTTTAAATCGGTGCAGACTTTTTTATGAGAACGTCGATTAAAGGTCGAAATTTTGTTTGTTATAAATGCACTTAATTACTTTTTAACTTCCCGTAGGATAAGTAATAGTAATTGCTAAAAATCGATAATAAAAATTTTTGGTTATCTTTACATTTTGAAGGTTTCTGAACATTTTGGCACACCTTAGAAAAAATGGATGTATGTGTGTGTATGTTTGAATACAATTTTTCGTCCACGATTTCGGGCACACATATCAACCGATTTGAATGATTCAAGAAACATTCGATTCCTATTGATAAGGAGACGTGCTGATTAGTTTTTGGTGGAGACAATAATTCAGTTTTTGAGAGAACGAAGTATCCGATTTGAATTATTCAAAAAACATTTTGCTTGTATTTAATAAAGAATTGATGTAATTTTCGGTGAGGCAGGCTAGCGGTTTCGGAGATACAGAGGAAAAAGTAAAAGAAATATCAGATATTTGATAAAGTTTTTAAAAATGAGTACTAATTTTGTTGGGTTCCATACCAAGATTGTTAATTTTTAAAGTTTACTTATACAATTCCAGCAAATTTCAAAATTTTCAGAAAAAAAAAACATTTCAAAATTTTTAAGAATATACAAAGTTTTATACTTCAAATATGAATTTTTAAATTTACAATTCAGTTTGAAAATGTACATATTTCAAATGCGTTATTCTAATCGTAAGAAATATATCCTCAGGCGGATTTATTCGGCACCTCTTGCTAATGTAAACTTTCTCAGGTGTTTTGAGTGATAAGATCCTCAAATTTTATGAACAATAAAATATATACTGATTATAATTTCTATTTGATAATGTATAAAACAATTGTTGTAAATCATTAATCAATTTTTCTTGATTACTAATTTGTTTGCCTCGAATATATAATTCTGGTACTGGAAGTTCCAGCAATTTGCCTTAAGGCACGATGCCATACACCACTAGTTATCTTTTTTAAGTCGGTGCCGTTTTCATGAGAATGTCGACAAAAAGTCGAAATTTTGTCTGTTAACATATATTTTTTCAATATTGATTTCAAACAATTCAAAGTTGGATTTTCTAAGAAAACAAACTCCCTCTTCGGGAAGCCTTCTAGAAAACTTAGTATACACTCTTGTATATAACATTCGTTCTTATTTTTATTTTTAGGTTTTGGGAGTAGTCTTCTTTACATTTGTGGTTCTATGGGCTCCATTCTTCGTATTGAATCTACTGCCTTCAGTTTGCGAGAGTTGCGAAAAAGACGTTAGTGGTTGGGTCTTCGAATTTGTCACATGGCTTGGCTACGCCAGTTCCATGGTCAACCCTATCTTTTACACAATTTTCAATAAAGTCTTTAGGCAAGCATTCAAAAAGGTAATAAGAAAAATAATATCCATTAAGGATATATAGATATCTGATTTTTTTATTAATAATTTTTATAAATTCTAGGTGTTGTTATGCCGATACAGGAGCTCGAAGTGGAGACCTCATAGGTAGCGCGTCCGGCGCCGCGGTGCTCCACCGCAAGAATCAACTCAACCATCGTTGCTCACTGCACTTTAATTAGATTTATAAGGTAATTACAGGATATAAAATACGTTTTAAGTATTACAAATAAAGCAACTTCTATATGATGATTCGAATTCATTATATGTATACATTGATGTCTCAATCTTTTATCGGCAATTGTAATACAAACATGCGTAGTGTAACAGCTTATAAGTTCTTGTATATTACATTTATACGCGTACAAATATGTATTTACATGTATATATAAGCTATCATCCCCAAAGCAGCTCTACAGGTACGATAACGAATCCTTTTATTTTTCTTACTGTTCTTTTTTCGATTTACAAACATCTTTTTGCTTCTTATGTCGGATTAAGTTTCTCTGTTTTTACCTTTTAAAAAATAATTTTTGTTCCTATCTAAATCACCCCTATCTAAAGACCCCTTGTAAAATTGTTCCTGTTAGAATTTCAAAAAAAATGATCCTAATATTATACAATATATACTGTGAATTACCAATATACTCATAAGATGTACTATAAGAATATAATACCCCAAACATAATCTTATTTATATTTTAAGTGATATTAAAATTCATAATCAATCGAAATTTGCGAATTTATATTACACGTGAAACTATTAAAAAAATACATATTGGTACTTATGGCATTTGTTTTACTATTATCCCAATTAATCAGTTGTTCAAACTTTTATTTTAACTAAAAATCTTTTTTAGGATTAAATAATTTTAGAGGTACTACTTATTTGCCTTATACTAGGTATATGTGTGCCAGAAAAGGGCTCCACAAATAATTGTGATATTGTTCGAATAAGTAAGTGAATCATTATATTGTAATATTGGATATTATATATAAATATGCGAATATATATATATATATATATATATATATATATATAAATTTGCATATTTATTTAATGTGTAATTATGTATGTTTGTATAGATATGTGGATATATACATAAGTCTATTAACTTGTCTAGGTAATGCATGTATATGAATTAATACTGAAAACATCTTTTTTAATGTTTCAATATAAGAAATTATTATTCTACATACTATGCATATAAAACGACATTCAATGATAGACCTTATAACACATTATAAGGTATATGTCTTATAAGGTCTATGCATTCAATATGTAATTAAATAATTTTTACATTTCAACGCATGACTGGAGTTTTAATGCCTTTTTTCGCCTAAATTTTAATTATATTTTTTGTACGTAAGTTATATTTACATTTGTATAAAATTCAAATTTTTTATTGATGTTTAAATGTACTATTAAAGGCATTGGTGTATATAAAATTAACTCAAAGAAATGATCTATTGATGACAAATACTTATGAACTCCATTGTATTACTGGAATTTCAAAATATAGCTTTGTTTAAATTTAACTAAATGATTAATGGTTAATTAAAGGTACTATAATTTTCAGGATTCTTCACTTACTTTTTATATTTATCAAACTCAGTTTTCTGGACAGAAAAGCTTTTCCGATTTTATTTGAAAAATATATATATTTGTTGGTCAAGACAGAAGCTTCTTTTACTTTACATTGGAAGAATTCATTTTTTATCTTAGATGAATTAGAATCTTAAAATGAAATAAAATTGAAAATTTGTTGTTATAAATGATGTAAATATGGGAAGGTATTAATGTTTTCATGTAACTTTGATCTTATAAAATGTAAAAATGAGAGTGTAAAAATTAATTTACGTGTATATATGTAGATAGACATTTACATTTGCATAAAATGTATTGGGGGTGTATTACGCTTCTTTTAGCATCAGTCAAAATATTGCAATTTTGATAACAATTAAGACTTGATACTTGATAACACGTATGTTAAATGTTAAAAAGGTTATTAAAATAGTCTCAATAATTAGAATTCATTAAAGACCAGTTCATTTAAAACAAATTGAGCAGGAGTTTTATAATTTAATTTGGAAACTGATGCGATAAAGTTTGACAATCTTAAGGTATAGTTATATACATAATGTAAAACGAATGTAAGAAATTGAAAAGTATTAATTTAATATGTATACAAAATTATGTTTAATGGTTATATGAATATGTCCTTGTGTAATTAAAATTATAAATTAGATATAATTTTTGAAGATATTCGCATTTATATAGATTCTGATATGTATGTAGTAGGATAATGTGATATATAAATGATGTTTATTTTCACTGAGAAATATCCAAAAATATTTTGTTTATATAGAATTTTATTATTAAATTTTAATTAAGAAAATGATGACAAAATTGTATTAATGTATTGTATATTAATAAATGATCTTTATATAAAGTCGTTAAATTTAATTTTTTAAATTCTCCACACCATTTAAGAAATTAAATTAAATTGTGCAATAATAAAAATATATTCTAAGATGAGTAATAACTTACCCCAAGTATTAAAATCACACATAAAATATTAGTTTAATTAAATCTAATAATTATTTAATTACACTACTTTTTGACAGTTTGCAAAATTTGACACTTTAACAGGCTACGCTGCGCCATCTCTTACTCTCTAGCGTAACTGGAGATAAACACTAAAGTTAGTTGCAAGTTCGTTATGTTGGTGTCCTGTAGACACTTAGACAGCCAACCTTTAAGAATCGAAAGTTTGTATCGTTCATTTCTTTTCCGCCTTTATCACATACGTGTGCTTGTTCTCAAATTGAGCTAAGGCCAAATTTAGGCGACTTGCACCAAAAGTTATTTCAATATATATAAAAATGGCCACAAAAGCTGAACTCGCTTGCGTTTACTCCGCTCTGATCTTGGTTGACGATGATGTTGCTGTAACTGTATGTATATCATTTATTACAACATTCCTAACCTCTAATTTGTTTGAAATCTTTTGTAATCGAATGTTTAAATATGTAATATTATTATTGCTCATCGTAATATTAGAATAATGTACTTTTCGATGTTATTCAGATATATATTTTTGTTTACTTATATACTCTTAAATTTCACATGTGCGTATTTTCTTATACCATTTCTAACCTTATTATATTTAGCTATTTGCTGTTATTGCCGTAGATTTTTGTTCGAATCCATTATTTTCGAACATAGTTTTTGTGTAGTGCATGTTCACAGAACATATAAACATTTTACTTTATGGCTTCATTATTTTTTAGGGTGAGAAGATCTCTACCATCTTGAAAGCAGCAGCTGTTGATGTTGAGCCATACTGGCCAGGATTGTTCGCCAAGGCTTTGGAAGGAGTAAAACGTAAAAGACCTGATCACCAACATCGGTTCAGGAGTTGGATCCGGACCAGCAGCCGCTGCCCCTGCTGCTGCCGGTGGAGCTGCAGCACCAGCTGCTGCTGCTAAGGAGGAAAAGAAGAAGGAATCTGAACCAGAGGAGTCCGATGATGATATGGGCTTCGGTAATTATCAAATTGACATTCTTAAGGCCTTTGAGAATTATGGATATACATGTTGCTCATTTCTTATGTGGGTTAAGTTTGCATTAAGTGAATTCATTCAACTTGTTGACATCGTCTTAAGTAGTTGCTTACGGTTCATGTAAGTTTATAATTTCAAATGATATTAGATACATTTTAATCTGTATCAAGAAAATAAATGTATATCCATCCTTATTGTGCCATTTAAATCGGCAATATGATGTTTTAGCATGTATTAGCTGCTGATACTGATGACAAATTAATTTCTGATATTAAAAATTTACTTATATTTAAATTATTGCATATGTGAATCATTTTTTAATTCATGTTTTCTTGTTTCAGGTTTGTTCAACTAAGTTCTTCATAATTTAAGGATGTGTGCAAGTGATGAAATGTATTTGTACTGTTCAAATAAAAATATAAAGTAAAAACATTTTGTTTTTTAATAAATAGTTCTTATTCCACTATTTCAGGTATCCTACAGTGCTAGTGTGAATTAAAAATCAATTATATGCATTAGTTTTTGGTGTATGCAAAAATTTACAAGCATGCTCCCAAAAGATTACTGAAATCGAAACTTTGCTTTCAAAATTAAAAAAAAGATTATTTTATGAAAGCCGCCTTTGAAGGTTTATTATCTGATCTTTAAAAAAAAATTACTTTGAAGTTATGTTGTGTTTACTCAATGTAGTAGTAATAAAGTAATATAATCTTTTATTTTAATATAAATTCACTTTTAGTTCATTAAATCCATACTTTTTTTTATCTACTATAATCATTCTCCCAAAATGAAACTGAGCCCTCACATATAGGGAATTTCTTAAACAAAGCTGGTTTTGCTGTTAATATTTTATCGGGAATACTTCAAACAGGGCAAAGGTATATAAATTACTACAGTTAAAGCAATCTAGTATGTTTTATTAGCCTATCACAAAGTACAATGTTTTCTTCAGTTCATTACATTCTATATTATACATTATCTACCACATAGCTCTTTGAACACCTGATAATTTATTGTAATCAGCCAAATGTCTCCACATAATTCTACTTAGACGCCAACGTGTAACACAACCTCTTGGCCTATAATAGTTATTTTATGAATGAAACAGCATTGTAGTTATGTTACAGTAAAAATTTATTACCTTGATGTTATAGCACAACGTTTTTTTAGTGCTACTATACTAGAATCTCTGGGTAAAGCTGCAATTTCAGAGTCCGCTATTTCTCGTAATTCAACAGGCAAAATATCATTTTTTCTTAAGCTGTTTACGCGTAAACGTTCTGCAGCAAATTGTTTTAAAGTATTACGTTTCCTAACATCTTTAATCATTCGCCAATCTGCATATTTAGTACGTACTTGCTGAATCTAAGAAACATTTGAGGTTAGTTACAGAGAAATAATAAATTTCAGTTTTATGGAGTACCCCAAATCCTGGAAGAACAGGTAGTGATCCTATTACTTTAGTAATGTTGAATGATAATGACATTTTTATTACTTTAATCTATCAAGGATAATAATGGTAATAATTATTTAACTCTCAAATGCAACATGAACATGACAGTTTGTGTTTTTTCTAATGTTGGTGTCATTGATTACATAGTACGAGATTCAAATGTGACCTGTTCAAAAGTCGATTTGCCTCCAAGAGCTTTTTTAATTATAATTAAAATAAATTATCTTTACAGACAAGTCAATAGTGTTATATTATATATTTTGATGAAACTTGAATAGTATTCACTCTCATTTTTCTTTATTTTTTATTAACAAGCATTTCCATTCCTTCTTTGCTTAATTCAAATGATTGCCAGCCATATTTTTCTGTAATGTTAATGCCGCCTAGCTTTTCATACATAATTTTTGCATCATTTCAATTAAGAACTCTCCAATCAATTCTTAGACAGTCTGAATCGAGAGCACTCTAAAATTTACAAGAAGATCATATGAAATGGCATATTTCAAATATAAAAATCTGCATGCATACTTGAGCCACTTTGGTGAAAAGCCTTCTTCCAATGCCTAATTTTCTGAATTGTTCTCTCACATAAAGGTCTTGTAAATACATAGATTTGCCTAAACGTGGTATATAAATGGGAAAATAAATCACGTAGCCCACGAGGTATTGATGTTCATCTTCTGCAACAGCACATTGAAATAAAGGGTTTTCCCCAAATCCATCCTTTTCTAGACCTTTAAGATTCGTTCAGATTATTTTCTCATCTTTAACTTAAAAAAATGATTCTTATCTATGATTGTATCACGTATCACGTGCTAGCCGTTTGACATTTGGTAAGAAAATAATTTAATCAGACCTTGTAATTATTCATTAATTTGATTATTATGAAATTCTTTGATTATTATATTTTTTAATCAGCAGTTTCCAAATTATAAAATTAACTCTCATTCAATAGCAAGCTATCAAAAACCTATATTTCGAAAAACTTACAAATCACTAATTTGAAATGTGTATTTTATTTATGTATATCAATTCAAATCCTTCAATAGGAGGATACAGACTTATTTTGGCATTAAATAGAGATGAATACTATGACCGACCTACAAAGCAGTCTCATGAGTGGGAGGAAAATTCAGACATTATTGGAGGTAATATATTAGAATTGTTTGTGCTTAATACATTTTCTTGGCTATTTATATGTATTTCAGGTAGAGATATGCAAATTGGGCGAGAAGGAGGAACTTGGTTTGCAGTTCGAGCAAATGAAAATGGATTACGAATTGGATCATTGTTAAATGTTACAGGAAAAACATTGAAACCAAACTGTCCAGGTACAATAACATAAAACTTTGTTATACTTTGCAGATTTAGTGTCTATTCATGTAATATAGTGTCTTTTTTCAATTAGATTATTATTTTTATTATTGATTTTTTATCTAAGGCAAAAGAAATGACAAATTATTACCTACCACACATTTGTATAAGTAAATCAAAACAATAATTATAACTTTCAGTTTAACACTGTAAAATTTGGTTAATTATAGATTAATTATTCATTTCTGTTTGTGATTAGGTCGTGGATCAATAGTCTCTAATTATGTAAAATCAGAATCAAATACGAAAGATTACACGGAGGATTTGAAGTCAAAGATGCAAGATTATAACTTATTCAACTTTTTGACTGCAGAAATAACGTAATGTAATAAATATCTCATGATAATTTTTGTATAAGATATTTTAACACAGAATTAAATTCCATTTAGAAAGGAGAATTGCATAGTGCAGTGTACAAATTCTGAATCTAAAATTACAAAGGAATGGGTTGCAGGTAAAAATCACAAATTTGAAATGATATAGAATAAAAAACATTTTAATAGATTTTGTTGCAAGAACTATTATAAAGAATTATTCAACTCAACATATTTTTTGAATATTATTCATTTTTAAGGAAAATACTTAACAAAATCTTAATAATTATTTTTGGGTATAGATGGAAAACAAGAAGTAATTAAAATTGGTGTCAGCAATAGTGAAGTGGATAAACCATTCAAGAAGGTTCAAAGTGGATCAGAAACATTTTCCAAGCTGGTCGAATCAACGGCAAATAAAGATATTCTTGTGGAAAAGTTATTAACTATGATGCAATGTAGCGAGAAGTATGTTAAAATGGCTATATAGAGTAAATCAATTAATAACTTAAAGTTATAATATTAACAATATATGAAATATAATGATTATTATATATATATATATCTATGAATAGTACATTACTTTTATAGACATTGGCCAGATGAAGTATTGTATGAACGTAATCCAACATGGGGAGAAGACTTGAGTTCAATATTTATAGCAAATCACGAGAGAAAATATGGCACCAGGTGAGTTATTAGTTTAACAATATAATTTTATTAAATATGTACTAATAGATATTTATTTCTAGGACTCATACTATTGTATTGCTAGATTACGACTGGAAATTGGATTTTATTGATATATCTTTAAATTCAGATGGACAACAAAATTCTAATAAATGGTGTAGAAAGCATATAACGAGAGAATTGAGAGTCTAGACTATAATTATGATGAAATATAAAGCAATCAATTTTAATATATGGTATTTTTTAAAGTGATTAACAAATTTAATAAATTGTCTTTGATTTTTAATAATAAATTCAATACAACTAACCTGTTGGACTATTCATTGATGTTCCAGGCATTTTCTCGTAGTCACCCAGCTCCTGAAATAAACTTTTCATTCATTTGGAACTAAAACTTATAGTAAATATTTACTTTTATCATACTCCAAAGCTCTTCGATGTCCTCCTTCTCTAATGGTCGGATTATGAAAGATTTTGTTGTCATTTTTTACTTTTAAAAGTTATGTAGAATTAAAGTATTTGAATAAAATAGTTTAAAATCTTACACAAAATTGATAACCTTGAAGAATTATATATAGAATTACACAAATAGTTTGATTCTTATTGCTTGTGCACACACAATAGTATAAATATACATTTATCTATGAATGAAGATTAGAAAAGCATTTCATTGATTATAGAAACAAACAATTTAGCTTATTATTCCAATAAAGAACATAAATTTACATTTATTTCATACCTATTACATTAATTTTAAGTTTTTTTCAATAAATTATTCTTCAAGTTAAGGACATGTTGACATAATATGACAACTTTTCAAGTTTGTTATTTATTTGCTGTAATTTGTTGAATTAAATCATGTACTATTATTTAGCAAACATATTATATTATTCAGCCACCAAATTTATATTGATAATAATACTTTTAAACTTTTATACTAATAATTTTTGTTTGACTTTTGAATGTTTTGGTTTTGCTTTAACAAGAATTCTTGTTATTACAAATCCAACTGTCAAATGTGTCGGTTAACCTTAATGTTTGAGCTAAACTTATCGCTTTTTTGCAAATGAAACAAATTTAATAATTACTAATAGAAATTAACAATTACAATTATGGATAGAAAAGAATTTTTACTATTATTATTGACGTTTTTTCTTTTTTTTGGTAAATCTCATAGTTGTCGTAATACGTGTTCTAGTGACAATGACGAATGTGAGGATATTTCTTCACCTAGCAAATATGATAAAGGTATGTATTAGAATATTATTTAGAATATATAAATATGTACTCAGTTTATTCTTTTGCAGAGTATAATCATTATATGAAATTAATTGAAGATGCTTCTAGAAGTCACGTTGATTGTAAACACTCAAATTGCAGTTGTTATAACAGAGTTATAAATGAAAATCTTTTGCCATTTAAAAGTGGTATAACACAAAATATGATAAATAAAATTAAAGATAGGTAATTCACATTATTATTTTTCCAATGAATGTATTAATAGAATTAACAAGCAGTACGAGCTACAAATTAATAAATGTTGTTTTTATATTTATAATGTACATTCACAGAGGTACTAAGTACCAAATAGTCAATAACAAATTATATCGCCAAGAAGATTGTATGTTTCCATCTCGTTGCAAAGGCGTAGAATATTTTCTATTAAAAGCTGTTACAAAGCTACCTGATATAGAAATGATAATCAATGTAAGAGATTGGCCTCAAGTTAATAAAGATTGGGGCATTCAAGGACCTATATTTAGTTTTAGTAAGGTATGCTAATCAGTCATTTGAGCTCATAACATTTATTTTAAACAATTATTATATATTATTTATAGACTAACGAAAGTCTTGATATCCTATATCCCGCTTGGAGTTTTTGGGATGGGGGACCTGCTATTTCATTGTATCCTACAGGATTGGGCCGTTGGGATAAACATAGAAGCAGTATTATGGCAGCATCAGACAAGTTAGTTTATTCAGAAAAATTATATCAGTGGATTAACCTCAAGAAAATCATATACCTGTTAATTATTTAAGAATTAAAAATTAGCTCAATGATTGATTTTTAGATACCCATGGTCAAAAAAAAAATCAAAAGGTTTTTTCCGTGGGTCAAGAACAAGCAGTGATCGAGACGAGCTGGTATTGTTATCTAGACAAAATCCAACACTTGTTGATGCACAATACACAAAAAATCAAGCTTGGAAATCAGCAGCAGTAAGACCTATAAAATTATTAATATTTGTCATATGAAACTATTTGAAAATATAAAATTCACAGGATACATTAAATGCGGATCCAGCTAAAGAAGTATCATTAGAAGATCATTGCAAATATAAGTACTTGTTCAATTTTAGAGGTGTTGCTGCTAGTTTTAGATTTAAACATTTATTTCTCTGCAATTCTTTAGTGTTTCATGTGGGTTCTAGCTGGATAGAATTCTTTTACCCAAACATGAAACCATGGGTTCATTACGTTCCTGTTTCAGAAAATGCAAATAGAGATGAAATTGAGAAGCTTTTGAAATTTTTTATGGAAAATGATACTTTAGCAAAAAATATTGCTCAGAAGGGTTTTGATTTTGTGAATAAACATTTGAGGATGGAAGATATTCATTGTTACTGGGAGAAACTGTTACAAAAGTATGCAAACTTTTAAAGTTTGAAGTTAAATTAGATAAAAATTAATACCAATATACGGTTCATGATAAAAGTTACATTAATGCGGAATATCAGTATTATTTAATTTATTTCTTGATAATAAGTTTATATTTTTATATAACTTGATTGTTGATATTTTTTAATCTAAATTTTGTATATTGCTTTGAATTAAAACACATATATACATTATGGCAATTTCGTTTCAATTTACTCGTGTATAAACAGATATACAGATATATTAAATTCTTTGAAAATAGTTAAAATACTTGAGCTATGAGTAATTGTTGATCAATTAGAAATGATCTTGCAAAGTTCTATGTTTTCTGTCACAGCATTATCTCGTATTCATATTTTATATTAGATTTTCATTATTGCAATAGAATGGCATTTAAATTTGGAGTAAAAAAATACAGTAATTTGCTGCATTTTAAAGACATATTTTCCTTAGTTATTTCCTTAGTTTCACATCCAAATAATTTTTTAACATAGATAAGAATATATTATGTTAACGTCTTAAATATGTCTCAACAAATCTTTTGAAATGATTAAAAGAAATTCGTAACGGTGTTAAATGTAAATCTGTTTTCCATTGTTGTACAATGATTTATTATTAGTAATACAGTAATAAAGTGCGTATAAATTCACACGACCAGTCGCCATACAAAATATGAGCGAAATATAATATAATTCACTATTCACACGGAATACTCTAAAACACGCCGGATGTAAAAGGTTACTTTATACGTTACTTTATTCCATTTAGTTGATGACGCACAATTCTGAAAAATATAATGAAACATGTGT